AGATAACAATCAAAATTGAATCTCATGACTGTGATGATGTTTGGATAGAAGATAATTTCCAGAGGTTTGTAAAAAATCAAAATGTCAGCCAGGTGATCAAGGTGAAGGGATGTTCCCTCTTTGTGGCCTTCCTCCTGCAAACCCACACCAGGTCCCTCACACCAAAACCATTGGCAAACCTAGTAGAGTCCTTGCCATCAGGACTGCAGAATCCAGGAAGCACAGAAGCTCAGGGCTGGTTGTAAGTGGCTACATAACAGCAAGACAGACTGGGCTGATGCTGTCACAGGCACTGTGGGGTTTGGTTTGAGACCAGGTCTCACTGTACTTTCTGTCCTGGAACTCACAGGACTGTTGACTTCTGCCTCCCAAGTGCTGGCTTAAAGGCATGTGCCACCATGCCAGCTGGCCACAAGAACTCTGGGAGCACTGCTGCAAGACTTCCCATGACAGACTTGGGCTTGTGCCCAGTGGTCGAGCCAGGTGAACCACGGCAGTTCAGTGAGCACACAATAGACAGGGCTGGGAAGGTTCCCAATTGACAGAGTAAGTCAGGCTTCTGATGAAGGGAAGATCCCAAATTCACTGCTCGCCTCAGGAGAAGACTCAGGAGAAGTCCAGAAAGGGCTGGGGCTTCCGGCCACACAGAGGCAGACCCAGGAATGTTAACAGATTTTAAAAGAAGCACAGGTAGGGGATGAATGGGTGTAAAGATGGCTCAGTAATTAAAAGAACTGTCTGGGTCCAGCTCACTGCCATCTGCTACTCCAGTTCCAGGGTGTCCAGTGCTTCCTGACCTCTGCAGGCATCAGACAGGCTCACAATGCACATACACGCAGGCAAAGCACTCATAACATTTAAAAGTCAAAACAAAAATTCAAAGATAGAAAAAATAAACCACAAGGACCCAGAAGGACCATGGATCCCATGATGGGGGTCAAACATGCCATCAGACAGAGTTTCCATGGGAAGGAAATTTATTGGGAAGAGAAGGGAAAGGGAGAGACAGAGACAGAGCGACAGTGACATGCTTCTTCAAGAGACAGCAGAAAGAGAGAGAGAAAGAGGGAGGAGTTGATGGAGCTTGTCTCTTAAAGGGATCTTTGCACCTGTGTGCAGACTATGTAGCAGCCAGAGGACCCTGGGCATATCCTGCAGGTGACCTGGGTCAGCACAATGCCTGAAACAGAAGTTCAGGTCTTCCTCAGCTACATAGCAAATTTAAAGCCAGCCTGAGCTATGTGAGACCCTGTTTCAAACACACACACACAATCACAAACACACACACCACTAGGGTGCTAGGGAGCTAGGGAGTTGACTGAATAAACAAAAGCTCTGTTTGTTATTTGGAGATGGTTGTTTTGAAGTTGTCTCTCTATGTAGACTGGTTGGAATAGAACTTTGAGAGCTCTGTCTGCCTCTACCTCCTAGCGCTAGGTTTAAAGGTCTGTGTCACCACTCCCAGCACTGAAAAATCTCTAGCTATGCAAACTTGAGGACTGAGTTTGAATCCCTAACAACATGTAGAAGCTGACCAGGATGTTGGCCACTTGTAATCCCAATACTTGGGAAGCAGAATTGGAATCCCTAGGGCAAGCCAGGATGGGAGCACCAGATTCAACAACAGGCTTGTGCCTCAGTACGTGAAGCAGGGAGGAAGGGAGGAAGATTCTCAACCTTAATTTCAGGCACAAATACACACCACAGTTTATCTTCCCCACAGATGCAAACATGCATATACACATGCATACACATTACACACATGCACAGATACCTAAACCCCACAAAAAAAAAGAGATGAGAGTCTACAGGCTCTGGTCCTCAATAGGGTCAGAGGTAAAGCCTGCTGGCTAGTTTTTAAAGGCACCTTGAGCCAGCTTCAGCCAACCATAGAGAAACAGAAAACATTAGACCCTCCCTATACCCATTAGTCTAACTACTCCCACCCAAACTCTGCCAAGTTATCCCCTCAACACACACCCAAGGTTTCTCTGTCCCTCCCCATCCTGCAGCCGCTTCTAAATAATCACTCAGAGGCTTAATATTAATTACACAATGTTTGGCCTATAACTTATTTTATAAATATACAATAAGTTCAGACTTACTACAAACTAGCTCTTATATTTAAATTAACCCATTTCTATTCATCTATGTAGTGCCACATTGCCATGGCTTTTACTGGTATGCTGGCATCTTGCTTCTTGAGTAGCTGACTGGAGTCTCCCAACTCTGCCCTTCTTTCTTCCTGTATTCAGTTTGGCTTTCTCACCTAGCTATGTTCTGCCTTGCTATAGGCCAAAACAGCTTTTGACCTATAGCAACATATATTCACAGCATACAGAAGGGTTATCCCATAGCACTTCCCCCTTTCTGTCTAATCAAAAAGGAAGGCTTCAACTTTAACATAGTAAAATTGCAGACAAAACAGTTATCAAGTAAGAATTATAGTTACAGTAGTTAGTCTATTTGTATTTGACAAAATTAATAAATATAATTATCTATCTTGGTGAGTTTAATGTTTTATATCTAATTTGCCTTTTTATCATACCTATCTTGTCTTCAACTCCATCAAAGACCTGAGAAGGAAATAATATTATTACCTGAATAAGCAGGAAGTGCAGGCACGTGACTTCCAAAAATGTGAGAAATGACAGAAACAATTGGCACCTGGATTGTCTCCAAAGTTCCTCTGTAACATTGGGGCATCTGTCTTTGGCCTACAAGTCAAGAACATCTAACAGACTTTTCTGTGAAGCAAGGGAATTTGAAGGACTGTCCTACTTTGTCTTAGCAAAGCTGGGAAGTTGCTTTCTTGTGTCCTACTGGTTCAGTTTAGACAGGAACTGTCAGCAATTGAAGCAAGGGCAGTTTCTTTGCCTACATGCTAGCTTTTGCCACAAAGAAAATAAACTTCATACAGAGTTTTCTGATGTCCATTATGTTTTCTGGAGTACACTGGTGCTGCCAAGAGTATACATGTCTCACTATCATGAAAAGTTTAAGTTATTAAAACGTTTTAAATACCATATCCTGTGTGTCTTTGAATGTTTTGAAGAATACCTATCTATCTGAAATATATCTTTGTATATCTAGAAAACCTAACATGACTATTGTAACTTTGACTATTATGGATGACTAACTGTATTTTTGTAAATTTGCATTTTTTAATTATACCTTATATTTTTAATTGAGCTATAGAAACACAATATCTTAGGCAAGAGTATATATATATATATAGAGTGAGAGAGAGAGAGAGAGACAAAGAGAGAGAGAGAGAGAGAGAGAGAGAGAGAGAGAGAGAATAACAAAATTAACCTTAGCCGAGTGGTGGTGGCACACGCCTTTAATCCCAGCACTCAGGAGGCAGAGGCAGGTGGATCTCTGTGAGTTCGAGGCCAGCCTGGTCTACAAGAGCTAGTTCTAGGACAGGAACCAAAAACTACAGAGAAACCCTGCCTCGAAAAATCAAAAAAAAAATTAACCTTAAATTTATATCAATAAGCTAAAATCCATACCAATGTAAAATATTTTGAGATTAACAGTTGTGTTTTGGGCTGAATTAGATTCAATAATCTCTCCTTTTACCTTATTTCTATATGAGAAGATTATTCATGGACAAGCTTGTCTACAGGACAGTGCATCTAATAAGCTTTAAAATAAACTTTCTGCAAAAGCTAGAGACAAACTCTACATGCTTCACCCTCTTTGCTAAGGAAAAGACCAATGTAAGGACGAGATAAGGCCTGCATAGCATGCATGATTGTGCTCTCTTGATTACTAAAAAGGGAGGAAGGGGCATGAGTCTAGTTTGAAGTTGGTCTGTGCTCAGGCAGCATACCTGCCTGTTGTGGAATATTATTTTAATTAGGCAAAGATGAGTTATATTTGTTTATGCTGCAGAATATTACTTTAACTATGTAAAGATGATGTGTTACATTTCTTTATGCTGCATTTAATTAGGTAAAGAGGTGCATTTGTTCCACTTTGCCTGCCTAAGGCCCCTGATTGGTCTGTTAAAAAGCTGAATGGCCAATAGCTAGGCAGGAGAGGGATAGGTGGAGCTGCCAGGCAGAGGGGACAAATAGGAGAGAATGAGAGATGAGAAAAGAGAATAAGGTTGTAGCTCAAATTCTAATTGGTCTTTTTTCTAAAGGTTTATTTAACTTTTTATTTTATGTGCATTGGTGTGAAGGTGTCAGATCCCCTGCAACTGGATCTTTAGACAGTTGTGAGCTGCCATGTGGGTGCTGGGAATTGAGCCCGGGTTCTCTGGAAGAGCAGTCGGTGGTCTTAACCACTGAGCCAACTCTCCAGCCCCTCTAATTGGTCTTAATAATAAAAACCTGGAGTCAGATATTGGGGATAAAAGCTGAATCCTCAGACTGAATGCTTCAAGCTCCTGTCTCCTCCCACCTTATATTCCTCTCTCTGCCCAGTTATATCCCTTCCTGTCTCTACCTCCCTAGTGTTAGGTAGATTAAAGGCACGGGATTCCCAAGTACTAGGATTAAAGGTGTGAGCCACCACTGTTTGGCTCTGTTTCTCTTATAGACTGAACCAATTTTGTGTGACTCAGAGTGGCCTTGAACTAACAGAGATCCATCTGCCTCTGTCTCTGGAGTGCTGGGATTAAAGGTGTGTGCCACCTCCTCTATGGCTAACTAGTGTGACTAGCTCCACATTCTGATCTTCAGGCAAGCTTTATTTGTTACAGCACAAATAAAATATCACCGTATAAGGGAGACAGAGAGGGACACGTCCAGGGCTAGAAGCCAGAAAGCAGGCAGCTGCGGGCCAGACATGAGAAGCAGGAAGGTTGGAAGTACAGAAGGAAAGAGAGGGGGAAAGCCCCAAGGCAAAGCGTAGGTGAAGAGAAACGGGTTAAGTTATAAGAGCTAGCTAGAAATGAGCCCAAGCTAAGGCTGAGCATTCTTTTTAAAAAAAAAAAAATTATTTATTTGTTATGTATACAATATTCTGTCTGCGTGTATGCCTGCAGGTCAGAAGAGGGCACAAGACCTCATTACAGATGGCTGTGAGCCACCATGTGGTTGCTGGGAATTGAACTCAGGATCTTTGGAAGAGCAGGCAATGCTCTTAACCACTGAGCCATTTCTCCAGCCCCCAGGGCTGAGCATTATTCTTAACTAATGTCTCTGGGTCATGATTGGGGAGCTGGTTGGTGGCGTGCTCCACCTGCCTTTCTAGGCTGACCTTGCAAAGTCGTGAAGTAAAGCCACTTCCCTTTTTGCTTTCTTCATCACCAATACTCTTACTCTCAAGTGAGGATCATTATTTCTTTCTTTCTTTTTTTTCGCCAAAAGACATACTTTATTAGTTCCTGAGCTCTAGTTCTCCTTCTCCTGTACAGTTTTGGTTCCACGTAGTCGCCCAGTCCGGCAGGCAGCAATGAGACGCACTTTGCGTCCAGCAGGGGCATCTCTTCGGATAGTGGATGGTTTGCCAAAGTGCTGATGGTTACCACCTCCAAAGGGATGCTCTACAGTATTCATGGCCACCCCACGTACACGTGGCCAGCAGTTCCTCTTGGCCTTGTACTTGTGGTAGGCACGGCCAGCCTTGTTAATTCTGCCCCCACCAGCCACAACACCAACGACAGCTCTGTTGGCCGAGGAAATGACCTTCTTGGACCCTGAAGGCAGCTTCACTCGCGTTTTCTTGGTCTCCGGATTGTGGGAGATGACTGTGGCATAGTTCCCAGAGGCTTGTGCCAGCTTGCCCCTGTCCCCAGGCTTCTCCTCCAGACAACATTCGATAGTACCTTCAGGCATGGTGCCCACGGGCAAAACATTGCCGATATTCAGCTGGGCCTTCTTGCCACAGTACACAAACTGCCCGGTATGGATTCCCTCTGCGGCGATGAAAAACTCCGTCCGCTTCTTAAACCGGTAGGGATCATGAAAAACCACTTTGGCGAGGGGAGCACCGCGACTGAAGTCATGAATGATATCCTTTACAATGTCCTTAATGTAACCGTGCCGCTCGGCGAAGTCCACAGCTCACAGCCGCGCGGCGCCCTTACGGTGTTTCACGTGCGCGTGGAACACAGAACCTGCGCCTTTCCTCTGCCCTCGGATCACACGGCCCATGGCAGCGAGTCTGCCGGCAAGCACGGTCGAAAGAGGATCATTATTTCTTACACCAGGAAATTCTAGGCAGCTGACAGACATTAAGGACCAAGGGTCCCAGACACCTTATGCCCCATAGATGTAACATTACTTCCAGAGACCGTCAGTTCTTGTCCCCAAGGTCTGACTGACACTCACATGAGAATGTTCCATCCTCTGCTGCTGCCTGCAGCTGTCTGCTCGGCTCATGGCTGCTGAGAGCACAGGACTATGAGAGTTGCTGAGTGTTGGGATCGAAGGTGGTTGGAAGCCCCGCAGGATCAGCCTCTATCCTGAGAGCTATGGGTCTCTGGCTTCTAGAGCGTGGTGCAATGGGCCCCTGGCTCTTGGGGTTTTCAGGGACCTTAGTATCCCAGGGGTAAATAAATGGCCCTGGCTAGCTGACTGACAGCAAGTGGAGGAATGAATGGAATCTCAGTGCCTTGCCTGAGAGCTTGCCTAACCAAGTCCCCTTTGAGCCCTACTCAAAGAATGGCTCTGCCTAAAGACCAGCCCAGGATGGGCTCTCTGTAGTGAAACAAAGGACCTCATGGGGTCCCTGCCTCCCAAGCTCATCTTTGAAAGGATGTGCTAGCTGGTTTTATGTCAACTTGATACAACTAGTCACTGGAGAGGAGGGAGCCTCTTCTGGAAAAAATGCCTATGTAAGATTGGGCTATAACCAGGTCTGTAGATTTTCTTACTTAGCAATGGATGTGTGTGAGTCCCACCCACTATGGGTGGTGCCTTCCCTGACCTGGTGGTCCTGAGCAAGTCATTGGGAGCAACCAGTAAACAGCCCCCCTCCACGGCCTCTGCATCAGCTCCTGCCTCCAGTTTCCTGCCCTCACTTCCTCCAATGATAGACTACTATGTGGAAGTGCAAGCCAAATAAAACCCTTTCCTCCCCAACTTGCTTTTGTCATGGTGTTCCATCACAGCAGTAGAAAACCCTAAGACAATTTGGTATCAGGATAGTGGGGTACTGCTGGGGGGGGGGGACTATAGAAGGACTTTGGAACTTTGGATTAGAAAAGTCACCGAGTGTTGAGACCTCAGATGGAAGTAGGAGCGTAGAAGATACAGACAATGGAGGCCTGGCTAGTTTCAGGGGCAAGTTTAAAGACTCTACTGGGCCTTTTGTGTGAAGAATCCGTGGTGTCTGGTCAGCTGGGGCTGAAGAGTGAGCTATGATTAACAAGAGACCAGCAGGCACCCTTAAAGTGAGACCTTTGTGTCACTGGGACAGCACTGATGGCTGGTCAGCTGGAGCTGAGAAATGACCAGGGATGAAGACGAGACCAGCATAACCGAAGTGAAGGCTTCTGGGAAGTGTTTCCTTAGAGTCGGCACACAGCTCTGCTCCAGAGGCAGCTAAGGTTGTACCTGGTACTGGGAGTTTCAAAGCCACCCGGGCGGTACTGGTGTTGAAGGCGTGAACAGGTCGTGGAGAGCAGCAACTGGTCAAGGCCACAGAGGCTGTCGGTGAAGGTGCAGCCTGGGTAGCAGTAGAAGGCTCAGGGTTGAAGGGGCCATGGAGAAAAGTTGAGGCTTTGCTCCGTGAAGAGGGCCCAAGGAAAACTATTGGGGAAAGTGTGGCCCATTTGCAGAAGGCCTTTTATAGATGCCCGTTCCATGGGGTGACCACCAAGACCAGCAGTGTGGGTGGAGTGGAGCCTGTGAGAGCCTAGGTTAGCTGAGCGTGCTGCAGATGGAGCCAGAGAAGTGACCCAAGTCCTCTAAGGGATCCCAAACAACTGTGAGTGGATCTCGGACATTGACCATTATGTTGTTCACACAGTTGGGAATTTGATTCACTATGCCATGCTCTTCCCTGCTGAAGTGTTTAGTTTTTATTTTATTTTTTTGGTTTTTCTTTTTTTTTTGTTTTTTTTTAATATTTATTTATTTATTTATACATTATGTATACAATATTCTGTCTGTATGCCTGAAGGCCAGAAGAGGGCAACAGACCTCTTTACAGATGGTTGTGAGCCACCATGTGGTTGCTGGGAATTGAACTCAGGACCTTTGGAAGAGCAGGCAATGCTCTTAACCACTGAGCCATCTCTCCAGCCCTATTTTTTTTTTTGGTTTTTCGAGACAGGGTTTCTCTATGGTTTTGGAGCCTGTCCTGGAACTAGCTCTTGTAGACCAGGCTGGTCTGGAACTCACAGAGATCCGCCTGTCTCTGCCTCCCGAGTGCTGGGATTAAAGGCGTGCGCCACCACCGCCCAGCTAGTTTTTATTTTATAAGAGCAACTGAGAGACTTTAAACTTCTTCTTGGGGGGGGGGGTTGCTTTTTTGAGACAGGGTTTCTCTGTGTGGCTCTGCGTGTCCTGGGACTCACTCTGTAGACCAGACTGGCCTCTGCCTCCCGAATGCTGGGATTGTAGGTATACACCACCAAGCTTTCATAATCAACAAGTCTCTGTGTCATGATTTGGGAGCTGGCAGGAGGGACAGAAAAATACACCTACAGTCATTTGGTGTTTGTGGATAAAATAAAAACAGATGAGGAAATCCAAAATATTAAACTCCATTCCCACTTCCTCAGGGATCTCCATGCTAACAGCTGTTCCCTGGGCATCTCTGACACCCAGAAAGGGAGCACTATCTGACCCCTGAGAATGAAGCTGAACCATACAGTTGCCAGCATTCTGTACTCATTATAAATAGCTGTCCCCAAGAATGGAGAAGACAGGGGGAGGGGCCTCTGCTCTGGGGTGCCTGAGCAGATCAAGGGGGCAGTGTCTGTCTCAGAGATTCACACAGGGTCCTGGGGTCTGTCCTCTCCCTCTGTCCTCCAGAGCTGAGACAGCTGCCTGATGTTCATGCTCCATGCTGAAGGCCTGCTCCTCACAAACCCTTTGTGTTACAGATACCTTCAGTTGCCCCATGCGAATCTTGCCTTGAGAGTTTCCCAAGGATACAAAGCCTATGCAGAACTTGGTTGGGGGGCAGCCAGGAAAACCGTGGTACCATCTGAATCTGGTATTGCATTTGGCATTGTATTTTTGAAAGCTTCAGTTATGGAAATCTACTGTCTAAAGTGCAAATATAGGAAAAAAATAAAAATGCCCTAGGCAAAGGGGAAATGCTTCAGTCCACCGAGGCTGGGACCCCTGCAGCTACAGAGGCTTAAGTTCATTCGCAAAGTGTCTCTGAGTCTCCATTTCACAGACCCACGTGAATCCACACTCTGGCGCCGTGACATCCATGACAGTCTTGTTTTTTGAAAGGTCACATGTAGCCTAGGATGGCGTCAAAATTAATTTACAACTGAAGATAAACTTTGGCTCTTGATCCTCCTGCCTGGTGCACCAGGCCTGGCATGTGCAGGTTAGGTTAGAACCCAGAGCGTCATGCCTGCTGGGAAGTGCTTTCCCACCTGAGCCACACCCCAGCCACCCTAAGAGGAGCACATGGACACAGTCCTAACGGGGTTTGCTGGATTATCCCGAGGCCAAGCTCACTCTCCACATTTGCTGAGTTAAGGCCACCCAGGGCTTGGCTCCACACTGACCTCCCCTGTTGTCCCTCACTGCTCTTTGCACACACAGTATTGGGCATCCTGTAAACCATAGGCATCGGCTTCAGACTGGACTCAGAACCTCTTGGACATTGGCTACACAGGGCTTCCCCAGCCATGATGGGATTTATGCATAGCTGCTAGTGGACCTCATCTGTCACTATAGGAGCAGAGCAGAACCAGGGTAGGGTGTCCATAGGTGACCTGTAAGAGGAGCTCCGGTGACACTGTTGGAGTCTCCTGCAGCAATGCTGCACAGATTCAAACATTCCTGTGGGTGACCCCAGTACTCAGTCTGCAACTCCTCAAAAGGTCAAGCTGATGCTCTGGCTGGCTCAAAATGGCCACTATAAACCACACTAATGCAAATGTACCTCTTGGCTGGCCAGTTACTATGGGAACACAGATCCCTCAAACAGACCAGACTGCAGGTGCTTACCCTAAAGACTGACTCCTTCCCAGAGACCTTGCTTTGGGAGCCCACTCTGGAGCCTTTGTTTCTTGGGCTCTGCCAGCTTCCTCACAGTCTCACCAGGACACTAACTTCACTGACAGTCTTTTATCCCCCACACTGCTTGCTGCAAGGCCATGAACCAGTCAGGTGGCTGCTGGGGACTGAACTCAGGTCTTCGGGGAGAGCAGCGTGGACGCTCGCTGCTAGCTGTGTATTTGGACCTATTCTGCAGACTGAAGTCAGGCCCTCAGGTGTGCTGAGCAAGCATTTTACCTATGGAGCTGTCCTAGCCCCTCTGCCCGCTACCACAGTGCTGCAGCCCTGTTTGATGGCGCCTCCTCAGTGTGTACCTGCTCCGATTACCAGTGGTTGTCTCTCTTCTGCTGCCAGTGCAGCAGTTATCCGCCTCAGTCTCAATGTGGCATGGCACTTGTGTCCTTACTGATCACATCTCATGGTCTCCCCAAGTGGATGTACTTGACAATGAACAAATATTGCTTTTGTTTGGCTTCACTGTTTTGTTAGAGATGGGCTCACTCTGTAGCCCAGGCTGGCCTCAAACTTAGAGCAATCCTTTTGCCTCAGCCTTCCAAATGTTGGGACTGCAGTCTTGAGCACCCACACCCAACTTCTTTCTCTTATGCTAGGTGCATACTGCGGAGCTTCAGTCCCAGCCCTTTGGCTTATTCTCATCTGTCTTTATGACCACCTCTCCAGCATCTCCCCTCCAAGATAAGACACACAAGGCCACAGGAAATTCTGCATTTTATTTGTGCCCATAACCCCTGGATGCTCAGCCCCACTAGATGTGACCCTTCCCCAACACCTTTACAAAACACTGATTCTCTCCCAGAGCTAAAATGACCCCTAGTTACCAACTACAGCCACCCTTTCCTCTCCCTTGGCCAGCAGATCTCCTGCTCTGAGGAGGCAGATCCCTTCCCTTGGCTGGCTTATCACTTGGATCCCATGTCCCTCATTAAAACCCTCCCTCCCTGACTGGTCTTTTCCAGTTACCCTGATGGGCTTCCTGCCTTACCTCCATGCCAGGCCCAGCAGTCCTCCCCCCCCCCCCACTAGGACTACCCGCAAAAGCACACTTGTTTTAGACTCCAGAAACCAGGGATCAGGCTGGGTCCTCAAATTCCCTGAGGGCCCTGGCTCCTTAGCTGCACTGAAGGGTACGGAAACTGACTAAGGGGGTAGGTGGGGAAATCCAGACACGGCTGGGACAGGGGAGTGAAGCAGGGTTGGAATACGGCTGGGGGTGGAGGGATAACGGACCTCCTAATGGACCTCCCTCCTCCAGCTGGACCTGCACCCTAGGTGCTTCGGGTCCTCTGGCTGCGGGCCTTGTACACCTCTATTAGCAGGTCCTTCACGTACTGGATCTCCCGCTCCACCGATTCGGCCCTCTCCCTCAGCTCCCGGTTCCGAGCCTCCAGCCCCTGGCACTCGCCCTCCAGGGCCTCGCCCTCTGCCCGCTTCCTCTGGCGGTACCTGAGAGCCGCTGACTTGTTCTGATCTCTCTTCTTCTGCTTGCGGTCCCCTCGGGTGGTGGCAGGACCAGGATAGGGGACTGGGCGGGAGGGTGAAGGCAGAGGGGCCAGAGGAGGAGGAGGAGGCTGCTGGGGGACAGGCAGGGCTGCTAAGCCTGCATCGCCTGGCCCAGCCTCACTGCGGCAGTAGACAGCCAGCAGGTCTAGAGTATCCAGAGTAGGAGGCTGAGGGAGGTCAAAGGTGGGCAGGGGCAAGGGCAGGGGCAGGGAAGGTGCTGGTGGTGGTGGTGGTGGTGGGGAGGGTGGTGGGAGGAGTGGGGCATCAAGGAAGAAGTCTTCCATCTGTTCTAGCTCCTTCTTGAGCAGGGATGCCATGGCTTCCAGGTCAGGGGGTGCTGGGGATGGTGGAGGGAGGGTCCCTGGGGGCAGAGGGGCCTCCAGAGGGAGGAGAGCCGTGAAGTCAACCCGCTCTGTCATCCAGTCAGAGAAGCCATCACCTGAGGATGGAAGGGGAACATAAAAGGCCCCTGAGGTCTGTGCTTCACCTACCTGGTGCTCACTCATGTCCCATTCACTCATGTGACAAATGACCAGCCAGCCTGACAGCGGACCAGTAACTCAGGCAACGAACCAGGCAACCAACCAAGCAACCCACTCACCCACCAAGCCACTAATCATGAATTAACCAACTAATCAGTGAGCCACAGAATCTACCAGCTAACCAACTGACCAATAATCTACTAACCAATGAACCAGCCAATCACACAACAAACCAACCAACAAATTCATTAATCAATGAACAAGTCAGCCAATCAATCAGCCAACCATAGTTTACCAAATAACCAATAAACTGATCCACTAACAGTGAATGAGACAACCAACCAGTCAGCCAAGCATACTGTTCAATAACCAACCGAGTAACCCATGAACCAGAGTTCACCAGCCAACAATTAGCTAACACATTAACCAATGAACCAGTCAGCCAACCAAACAGTTCACCAGGCAACTTGTTGATAAACTAATCAACTCCCTAAGCGATCAATGAACAAGCCAATCAATAAGTCAAGTCGGTCAACCAATCAACCACCTAATTTATCAACTAACCAATGAAATAATGGGCCAACCACTCAGTGAAGCAGTCAACCAACTAATGACCCACCCAACCAAAGTCAGCTACTGCTTTTCTAAGCATCCTCTTTACGGTGTGGCTGCTTGGCTGGACCTGCTCTGTGGCTGTGGACAGTCCTCTGCCTCTCCCCCAGGGGCTGATTCCTCTCTCTCTGGATCACTTAATCTCTCACACCCCGTCTTTACTCATTCTTGT